GCCCCTGGAAGCACCTCTAGTAACCATATGAGGAGTGGCCAGTGGAGGTATGCCTAATAAACACTGCCTTTTCTCTGACATAAAACGGTATTTACTGCAAAAAACCTGGCGGGAATGATTATACTCACCAGAAAAAAGACAATAAACTGTAGTTGTTCTGGTGACTATAGTGTCCCTTTAATAATTGTAAGCCAAAGTAGCTGATATGGTAGAAAATCTGTGTTGGAGAACTTATTCCTTTGTGAGCAATTCTCGTGTCAATTCTCCACAATACCTTGTTTAGTGAATAAATAACAATAATCTCCATGGTGTTTAGAAAATTAATCATTAAAGGGACACTTCATGTTTGATTTATGACCCTTTTTTACTGCATGAAACACATTTCAAAGTAGCAAGAATAATAACACTACAATAATTTCATTTTACAATGCCTGTTATTCACTGATTATTCTGGTAAGCCAGGAATTTGTCCCTAATGCTAAATATTTCCTATCCAAATATTTCTGTAGGTTCATTTAACGTAATTTACTACATTTCACCTAATTTAGGAATGTATAGGTTACACCAACCAATGAGCAAGACACAAATCTGCCAATGATGACTTTTGATGTGGCACTTTCCCCACACAGAAAACAATATGACATATGTATGCTTCTAAGGGACGACTCCAGCATAACAACAGCATTACATCACACAAACATCACCAGATGTGATATTCAGTAAGAACACCCACTGTGCCACTTTTAGTACAAGTAAACCTGACATTGCCAGCAGGGATTCGCACATTGCTTGGAAACTGAAATTGGTGTTGTCTTGGACTCCCGAAAAGAACAAGTGCAGTACCTACTGATTATAGACCAGTAAATAGCCGTAGTGTAATTGGCCAGATTGTGTGTGTAAATGTGGCCCACTGCCAGGATAATAGATAGATTCCTAATTGTAAATGTAGGAGTGAAACACTATTTATGTGAGGTGATTTATCTGATAAACCCTAGATTAGGCAAAGTGAACTTGCTAGTTTAGGAGATACAGTAATTCCTCTCTTTCCAGCCCAGGCGTTTTGCCGTCCATGCACAATACCCTCTCAATGCTTTCCTATGGGAAAACAGTGGATTGGCTTAGATTATTATTATTATTTTATTATTTATATAGCGCCAGCAAATTCCGTAGCGCTGTACAATTGGTGGACTAACAGACACGTAATTGTAACCAGACAAATGGACGCACAGGAACAGAGGGATTGAGGGCTCTGCTCAATAAGTTTACATGCTAGAGGGAGTGAGGTATAGTGATACAATGGGTCCAAGTAGGGGTAATGAAATAGGTTGCTGAGATCATCCATACCAGTCGTAGTGAGTATCTTTTCACTGTACAGCAGGGTCCGGGGACTTCAACAGCTACACCAACCAGCACTAAAGTGTCAGGAATACATGTTTGTATTCCTGACACTATATTGTTCCTTTAATAATGACTTAAGGATGTATGCATTAAACAGTAAATTTTGGTGAACTGAAAAACTAATTGCAAAATTAAGAAGAAAATTGTCAGTCTGTGACAATAGCGGAGTTGATTTTTTTCAAATAAACTAGTTTGGCAATGCATTTACTAAATAAACAAGAGTGCACATTTTTGCTGCTACCATTGTTTATGATTTTGGTTTGTCTACATTGGCCTAAAACCTAAAATTCACTATGATTTTATTTTGAATTCTCATCAAATTAAATTTTCGGGAATGCTCTGACAATGTTGTATCATACCATGCAGTACAGGTTTTGAGTATACTGACATGGCAATGTCATGGCCTGGGGTTACAAATTCAGGTGACAGGTCTGGTAACTGGTCAAGCCAGGTAAATTGATTAAAGGAACACTATACGGTAAGGAACACAAACATATATTCCTAACTATATAGTGTTAAAATCATCATTTAGCCACCCTGGAACTCTCTTGCTCCCCCTAAATATAGCAAAATCTTACCTTATTTCAAGTGCATCGCAGGTCCGCAGGCGCTGGTCCTACCCCCGATCTGCCACCTTGGCTGGCATCATCAGAAGTGAGGATCTCAACCAATCACAATGCTTTCCCATAGGAAAAGCATTGGATTGGCTAAGATTTTCAGTTCTGATGATATCGGCCAAGGAAACGGGCCGGTGGGTGGAGCCAAATACAGCCCTGGCCAATCAGTACCTCCTCATAGAGATGCATTGAATCAATGCATCTCTATAGGGAAAGTTCAGCACCTCCATGCAAAGGGTGGAGATGCTGAATGTCAGTGCTGCACTGACCCAGGAAGCACCTCTAGTGGTCGTCTAAGGAGTGGCCACTAGTGGTGTTCCTATGCTGCAATGTAAACACTGTCTTTTTTCTGAAAAGGCATTGTTTACAACAGAAAGCCTGAAGTGGCTGGTTACACTGCAAAGAACAACTACAATAAGCTGTAGTTATTCTAGTGACTATACTGTCCCTTTAAGTTTACCTTTGCGTCCCTTTTTTGCTTTATAGATCCTGAACACTATTTTAACATCGCAATATGTATTTTACCATTTTAAAGATTTCAAGGAAGTTATACAGAAAACCTGGTATGTGGATGCATACACAGGAACAGCCTGCATACTTATAATCTAATAAAGGTCAGAGATGCAAATTCAACTGATAACAGCAAAGTGGGTCAGTGCCATGGAGATTCACAACTGCTGATATGCGTTACTATTTCACTTCACGACCTCATTTCTGACCTTATTACTAACACAACATATTGATCCGTGATGCAAACAAGCTTTCAGTATGGGAAAAGTATATGAATGTGCAACGTGTCAGAATATATTGAAAGCTCTAAACCAGAGCACAGAGTTACACTGTACAGCAATATTCTGAAAACCAATATGCCAGTATAGCAAGATTTGGCAATCATTCGTATAGACCATGACGGTGCAGTTGGGATAAATATTGAATTAACTATATATGAGTAAAATTACTGTTCAATTTTAAAATACAAGCAAACAAAAACAACTGATATGGGGGAAAGCCCATACAAACAAAATAAAAAATAAATAAATAAATAAAAAAGCTGGCTTAGACAATTGACACTGTGCCTGGTTCGCAGGCACTGAAATTAAATCTGAATTTAGGAGAACAATGGAACACAGACTGTTTGGTACAGTCTCAAAAGGCCTGACGTTTTAAATTGTCTTCTATTACCCTGTCACACCTAGATGTGGCAAATGTTAACTGATGCAGCAATACTGTGACACTATGTTAATAAAACAAGAACTGGAGCCGTTGGTAAAATAAAAGAAAACATATATAATTTCCTGACTGCAATCTAATAACATAATGTACAATGTAAAAAGATATACGTATAGAGACTGACAGTATTTTGATTGTTCTGTCACCAAGTTTGTAGACTAGACTGCATGACTCTCTCTGTAGTCATAATTACAAAGACAAACTTTTCAAACTTTAAAAAATATTGTCATACTTTTAAGAAAAACATTTATCGTACTAAAAAAAAAAAAATACAAAAAACCCCCAAAATTACAATAGTACTATTTTTTGCTTAGGGATTCTTACAGGTAGAAACTGATCCCCCACACAGATTGCATTAAAATGCACATTTGGTGCCATGGCTAGTTTATAACAGAAAGCCTTTATACTGGATCTGAGCCACAATATGTAAAGAAATTCTGCATCAAATCTGCTCATTTAAGTGACGAACAAGGGATCAATAGGGGGCTAAGTAATTGCAATTAATGATTTTTAACATTATATATTGTTTTTACCACACAGGCACAAGCATGCCTTTTCTGTGTCCACAATACACAATGATGAATTAGTTAGTACAGTAGGTTAGGGATCTGGATTCAATTAATAAATATACATTTGTCTCTTGTAATTTATCAGCAATATTCTCATAGACTGTAATAAAATTACAAAAAAATAAAAAGCTATCTTAAAGTTAATCTCAGTTGACAGAATCCAACTCATGCATAAAAAAAGATTTATCTGTATACAAAAGATATATATTCTCTAATGCAGATGTGGCAGGGACACCCAGCATGTAGGACTACAACTCTCATAATGCTTTAAGTGCCAAAAAGCTAGCAAAGCATCAAGGGCTTTGTAGTTCTACAAGAGCTTAGAATCTTTATTTTGGTTAACCCCCAGCTCCGGAGTAATCTGTGACCATCTTTATTCCTGGGCCATCTAAGTAGGAAATGATTAATTGTTGAATATTTTCTGCCATTTTCCCACTGCCAACCATGTTTGTGCTGCCAGTAACTGCAGACAAAAAAAGGGTACTGCCTCTAAAATTCATGTTAAATCTTGGAAACTGCAATCCCCTGACATCTACAATGACCAATACCTTTGCCTTACAGAGTGTAAGCTCTTATGAGCAAGGTTTTTGCATTTGTAGTTCCAGTAATGTTTACTGTGTTTTGTTTTTTTATATAACTCCATTTGCACAGCACTCCAAAACCCAAAACGAAACCTGTGTTTCATTAGCAATATGTAAACAATGTGCCCAATTATTCTGTTTTTAAAAAGTATTAGTATGACACAGAAATAAGACTTAGCCTCAACAATGCTACTATATTAGGAGTGGATCATTTGTAACCATATATAGACTGCAGAATATATAATTTGTCTTAGCAAAGAAGGGTGGGTAGGTTTCTGTCTAAAGAAATGGCAGAGCAGAATGGAACATGTTCTCAATAATTCACAGTAGTGCTTTAACCCTTTGATAGCCATAGGTGCACTTAATGAATTGCAAAGCAACACACTAGGTACACCTCTGGCACTCAAATGGTCAAACTCCATGCCTCTATCACAAAACAAAGACTATACTAAAGATCATTGTCCCTTAATGTCTGTTTGACACCTACATATAGCTGTTTAGGGGTGTGACAAGCTACCCCAAGGAAGGCTGCAGGAGGTAATGTATGTATCTAATGTATATGTTACATAGAAACCAATGTCTTTGTGATAATTGGGGGTGCTTACCTCCAGTACAACAGAGAGCAATAAGAGACCAGCACACTGCAAACTCTTCATCTTTGCCTTATAGCTTCCCCCGTCCTAGGACATCAAAACAGGGATCATGTCTTCTCCAACCAGCATCAATAAATCCTCTGAAAAGCCAGAGAGTTTTCCAGAAATTGGATAATTAAAAAAATAATAATACAAAAAAATAGACAATATAAAATTCCCAGCGTTCACCGCGCTGCCTTGTTTAGTTTCTCTCCTTTTTCATCTGCAGAAGTCAATCCCCCCAAAAAGGAGGATATTTAAGCAACTGTATCCAGGTAAATCAGATGGAACACAGGGAGATCCCTGCTTCCTTATGACATCCCACACAGATGACAGGGAGGGAGGGGTGGATCTTGCTGTCCTAGAACCCACTGCTCAGGTACAATGGGGGAGAAAAGGGTATCAGAGCAAAGAGAAGGAAAAACAAAGGGATCAGGAGAGAGGAGAGAAACGCCAAGAGGAACTGCACAGAAACAAATACGGGTTTAGGTAATGTTTTTTTTTTTATCTCTGTCCCAGCCCCACGGAATGATTTTCAAAGATGGAAATGGAGAGGCTGTGATCACAAAGTGAGGAGGAGATTGGGAGGAGGAGGAGGAGGAGATACAGTCAGCCCTTCTCAGTCTATTTTCTTCACAGCAACTAATAAGATTTTGTTTTGTGTCTTATTTTCTTTACAGAAATGATAGCATTGTGTTTTGTGTTGTTTGTCTTTCTCCCTGGTCGCTCAAGGTTCGCTTTAGGTTTGGGCTGTAAGCCATCATAACAGCCATATCTGAGCTTTATTTAGCCGGAGAGTGTATTTGGACAGAGGGGAAGGTTCAGGGTGGCTGAACTGCAAATACTTGCTTGTGGCTGTGATACTGGAAGCAAACATCCTGCTCGCTTAACTATTTCACCCCCAAAAAAGGGTTAAAGGTGTCTTTCTGTCTAGACAGGAGTGTGTGTGATCTAGAGAGCGAACTGAAAGAAAATCAGAAAAAGAGCCTGGGGTTTAATAAATAAACCACAGGGACAGCTTTAAGAAGCTTTTCTTGTTGCTATGGCTGCAAAGCATTTCACCCTCTTAGTACCTGAAACCTTGTGTCACAGGGCTAAAGAATGGAAATAATTCGACCTGGAGAACATAAGGAATCTATTAAAAAAAAGGGTTACAAAATAAAACTCTAAATATTATTACACAGGCTTGAAAAGTAAGATGTTACTAAAATGTAAGTTAGTTACCAATGTGGATGATGCTATTCAGGTAGATAGTACACCAAATTACTGTTTTTTGACAGGTTTGAACTTTACTTTATAGGAGTTAATTAAGTAATATACCAACTCTAGAATGTAAGCTCATGGAGCAGGGCCCTCCACTCCTCTGTTCCAGTATGTCCAGTTGTCTGATTACAATTACATGTATGTTAGTCCACCCGTTGTACAGCGCTACGGAATCTGATGGCACTATATAAATAATAAAATAATAATAATAACCAAGTGTCCCTATTTAGAAGGGCGCAAATCCAACAGTTCAATTTTCTTTCCAAATGTCCCTCTTTTCTAGGAGCTTTTAACGAGTTTTTAACAGAGCACCACAGCAATAATACGCACAGTAATGTGTCTTTAAACTACAATAAATGTGCTTAGAATTTGGAATGTGCAAATAAAATACAACGTTCAGGTTTTAAATTACATTTTCATTAATAAATTGTTGTTAGTAAGTCACCTACATATATTTCAAAACCCCACCCATTCTCACACTCCTAAAAGTGCCCTCCTTTGCCCATCTGAAATATTGGGAGGTATGCATTGGTCTACAGGGCATTAAGCTAGTAGTGCATGTCAGGGGGCAGTTGTGCCTTTCTTCCCAAGCCATTGGGGTGCTGTGACCACAGTGGTCTTGTTGGGGATCAGTAAATCTCTCCTTACTTTTTTCCTGCGTTATATGCTGCAAGTGAGCACAATAGCTCTGCATTCCATACTGACATTGTTCTTTTTCAGCGTAATGAATCAGGTTTGATATATATGACATTATTTGAGATGGATTTTAGATAAATAAGCATAGCAGCTAAAATGGAACTTTGCGTATTGTTTTTTTTTTTTTTTTAAGTGACATAATTTTTTATATATATAAGCAGGGCCGGCGCTACCTGTAAGGCGGACTAGGCAGCCGCCTAGGGCGCCCCTTGGGAGGGGGCGCCGCCAGGAGCGCCGGCCCCGCTCATGCTGCAGCCGCCCGAGCGCTCTGTGAAGAGCCTCAGGCGGCTGCAGTTTTGCCCGGGCGGTGCGTCCATGAGGGCGGACCACACCGCCCGGGCGCAGCCTGAGGAGAGGCTGACAGAGGAAGTGCTCAGCGCTCTCTCCTGTCAGCTCCCTCTCTGTAGCGTGGCCGAGCCCTCTATTGGTCCGACCGGTACAGAGAGCAGCTGTCTCCTGTACCCGGCCGGACTAACAGGAAGTGAACACTGAGTGTTCACTTCCTGTTAGTCCGGCCGGGTACAGGAAACAACAGCTCCCTGTACCGGTCGGACTATACTGGGCTCGGCCACACTACCACACAGGTAGGGGAGGGAGGGGGAAGAAAGAGGGAGGGAGGGGGGAGAAGCAAAAAAAAAGAGAGGGAGGGAGGGAGGGAGAAAGAAACAGGGAGGGAGGGGGAGAAGGAAACAGAGGGAGGGGGAAGAAAGAAACAGGGAGGGAGGGAGGGGAAAGAAACAGGGAGGGAGGGGGAAGAAAGAGGGAGGGAGGGGGAGAAGGAAACAGGGAGGGAGGGGGAGAAGGAAACAGGGAAGGAGGGAGGGGGGAGAAGGAAACGGAGGGAGGGGGAAGAAAGAAACGGAGGGAGGGGGAAAAAGAGGGAGGGAGGGGGGAGAAGGAAACAGGGAGGGAGGGGGAGAAGGAAACAGGGAAGGAGGGGGAAGAAAGAAACAGGGAGGGGGAAGAAAGAAACAGGGAGGGGAGGGGAGGGGGGAAGAAAGAAACTGACAGGGGAGGGGGGAGAAAGAAACTAACAGGGAGGTGGGGGGGAAAGAAACTAACAGGGGGGGGAGACATTGACAGGGAGGGGAATTGACGGGGAGAGAGAAATTGACAGGGAGGGGGGAGTGACAGGGGAGGGAGGGGGAATGAGAGTAACAAGGGAGGGGGGGAGAAGAGAGTGACAAGGGAGGGGGGAGAGATTGACATCCATCACACACACACACACAATCACACACAATGACAATGAACCCCTTGCACACAGAAAAACACACAATGCATTACACACACAATGCATTACACACACACACACGCAATGCAACCCTTACACACAATGCATCCCTTGCACACACAGAAACACACAATGCATTCTTTACACACACTCAATGCACCCCTTACAGACTCACACACTTCATCCCTTACATACACAGAAACACACCTTGCAGCCCTTACACATACAAACACAGATTCACAAAATGCATTCCTTACACACAAATCAGGACATTCCCTACACACTCCATCCCCTGTGAACAAACTCATTGGTGGAAAATGAAGGTGGACCCTGGGACCCAGACCTTGAGCTGTGTAAAGGGCCCCCCAAAAAATGGAGCTGCTTCTCGTTCTCCCAGAACATTGATTTTTGTGACCACAGTTACAAACAGCCTCCAGAGATCCTGTTATACACCAGACCAGTGGAGCCAGACTGCAGCTAGAGCCCATCATCATCCTCATCTGCTTGTAAGTAGGTAATCTAGTATATTATTCGTGGCACTAATCTCTAATTTACCTCACATTAAAGAAACACTATAGTCCCCAGAACCACTGCACCTTAATGTAGTGGTCCTGGTGTCTATAGCCTGTCCCTGCAGGCCTTTTAATGTAAACACAGCGGCACTGCAGCACTAGCGTTAGTTAACATGGCAGGTCATATGGGTGGGGCATTGCGATGTCACGGGGGGGAGGAGGGGGGCGTCAAACTTTACTTTTGCCTAGGGCGGCAAAAATCCTTGCACCGGCCCTGCTTGCGCGGGAGAATTGCATAAAAGCAGAGTATGTGTCATTAAACCTCAGTTCAACTTCACCCTCAATTGAGAGTCCTGTCTCTTATTGGGGGAATCTGCTATAAGGGATTGCTATGCTCTGCATATTCCCTTGCTATAATCACTACTAAGCTCTTTTGAGAGCTTGTTCCTGTGTTACTCTCTTGGGGGAGAGGTTTACCCACTGGAGCCTGAAGCCTTGTCGTGGGCGCAGGGTGGGTAGGAGACGGCGAGACCTCAACCAAGTTGCAGCGGTTCTGGAGGTCTGCAGTGGTTATGGTGTCTGGCGGAGTGCTCTGAGTCCTTGGTAAGCGCTAGGACCATCCATCAACGGAGGTACCCAGTCAGGGTGCCTGGCGATCCGTTACAGTAAGGTTTGGTGCATAGGCACCTGGTTAAGTTGTTGGCAAGGACGGTTATTTAAGTTGGAGGCTTTAGGGCAATAAGTGTTAATTTATATGTTAATTATGGTATGTATATTTATGTGTCTATTTATATTTGAATTAAGGGGAAAGAATAAAGTTAGGATGAGTCCTACAGTTGTAAGTTTAATAAATGCTGTGGCCTGTGTGATCCTTGTCTGCAGTTAGCATGGTCCTTTTGGGTACAAACATGCACAGTCTTTAAAAGTAACTTAATTCCAAGCACTTTATTTGTAAATCCACACAGGAGACAGCAATAAATGAAAAAAAAACAATAATGTAATACAAATCCCTATAAAGAAAAACCTAGCTCGTCTGAGCACTAAATAACATCAGATTCCCTATCTCTCAGGGTTAAACTATAACAAAATAATATTGGTTTCACCAACCTAGTGTCTTTGTCAGCTCTCTGCACTCCAGTGTTTAGACAGCCTGCTGCTGCCAGCCCTTCAAGAGAGAAATAAACATTCTCCCCTTACCTGCCTAGCAGGGAGGGGTTTATTCCCACTGCTGCAGCTGATTACCTGCAGCTGAGCAGGGGGTTGGAGACAGTCCAAAAAACTCTGGCCTGGATCTATGTCTCCCAAGAAAACCGCTAAACTGCGGAGTGGAGCACTGGCCCACCCTGCTCTCCAAATGCTCCACCCCAGGGGCCCATAACTAAATATTAATTTTCGTTATATACACACAGACACACACACTCCCCCTGGGGTTAAAAATCATATGCCTCTCTGAACAATTCAGATGAAATATAAACTCCCTCACAGACCACCCCATTCACCTTATCACACATGTTTCATCCAATGTCCGTTGTCTGTCGTTATTGGGGGGAAAAGTGGGGTAGTCTTTTTACTCTTAGTCGCACCACAATTCCCCGGTACGTACATACGTGTGTTTATTCTATAACTTTACTGTCTATTTACAGGAGCACTATGATTAAGCAATTCATGTTAAAGGAAGTGTCTCTCATTCATGCAATAAAACAGAGGGATTCATTATTATTTTATGACATAATTGTATGTTATGACGCCTGTAATATTCTGCATGGTTAATCTGCAGCCATTTTTAATCCTCTCAGTTAATGAAGTTGTCATCATGAAACTATTTATTCCTATTTTAGCTGTATTTAACGATAACAGCCTGCAAATATGAGATACCATAAATCTATATTTTATAAATATCATGCTCTCTACACTGGAGATGGACATAGATTTATTTCTGTTGAGGAATGTGCATTGTCTATCACAGAGCTCCACAGCTGTAAAGTATGCATTAGTGAATTACAGAGCTCCTTAACCGTCCAACTCACAGTACTGTGAAACATGTCCATGTATCACAGAGCTCCATAACAATAAAACTCACAGTAATGTACAGTGTGTATGAGTGTATCACAGAGCTCCATAACAATAAAACTCACAGTAAAGTACAGTGTGTATGAGTGTATCACAGAGCTCCCCAGCAATAAAACTCACAGTAATGTACAGCGTGTATGAGTATATCACAGAGCTCCATAACAATAAAACTCACAGTAATGTACAGCGTGTATGAGTGTATCACAGAGCTTCAGACCAATAAAACTCACAGTAATGTGCAGTGTGTATGAGTGTAACACAGAGCTCCATAACAACAAAATTCACAGTAATATGCAGTGTGTATGAGTGTATCACAGAGCTCCCCAGCAATAAAACTCACAGTAATGTACAGCGTGTATGAGTGTACCACAGAGCTCCCCAGCAATAAAACTCACAGTAATGTGCAGTGTGTATGAGTGTATCACAGAGCTATTAAACTCACAGTAACATGAGTGAGGTCCAAACTGTTTAAAACCACGCTGTCAGCTTTTCTATTTTATTCCAGAACCACATTTTGGTAACTGTCTTTGCAATACACACTATATTTAACACTCACACACATTAAACTGAATTGTGTCCTCTCAAAAAGCTAGCCAAGCCAAACATTGTGCGAACTTGGAAGCCAGGGGCATAGGTTACATTACCAAAAATAAGAAAATAGCAGAAATAGTGAAGAGGGAGAAAGTCAGAATAGTGCTCCAGGTTAGCCAGAAAAGTCAGAGTTGGTTGCATTTCCGCTATCTCCATAAGGCCCAAACTGTCTTCTCACTCATCTCGTATGCACCAGAAGCGGGAACTGACTTGGTCTCCTAACACTATGGCATCTTCAAAAACCTCCCACAAAAGACGAGGGCCATCGTAGTCCTCTCCCTCAATGTATTGGGGTCGGACCCGCCCCGGGTAGATAAAACCTGCATGCCACCGCAGGGCCTGGTATTACTCATCCAGCCACACCTCATTCGCAACAAGAATTTCCAGGTTGCTTACCCATTCCTCTGAGGGCTGGTTTCCCAAGAACGGCATCTGGAGCTGTTCTGCTTGGCGCTGGTTGGTGGTCAGGATTTCGTCACACCGGAAGGGTCGGATTTCATCGAGGTCCTCCTTCCAGAGATCGGTTTGAAGCAACACCCTCCACCCTGTCTCTTTTCCCTCTGGGCAATTCTGACGAAACGTTGGGCGCTATTCTGACTTTCTCCCTCTTCTCACTATTTCTGCTATTTTCTTATTTTTTGGTATGTATTTCTAAGTTGGGTTTTATGACTCTATACTATGCGTTGAAGTATTTTCTGGCTGTGATTAATGTATACCTTGTTTTCTTTAGCACTGTTTTTGATATTACTGCTAATGTTTTTGGAATGATATTGGACCCAATTAATAAAGTGATTTTTATTTATTATGGTTGTGCCCCTTATTCAGTAGTATCTTCACCACTAAAGTCAAGTGTTATTACTGGCTCTTTCACATGTGAGTTTCCTTTTTACAAGGTGTGGGGAGCTTGTATCTGTGTGAAATGTATCTACACTATTATAACCCTATTATAGCCCCATTTGCCAGTCTTGTATCCCTTACCATAGATAAGGATATCAAGTGTATTACATTGTTAGCGCTCCACCTATTGGTATTTAAGGTTTCTACTATGTGAACCCATTCACAACCAAGTTCACTACATATAGTGAGTATACAATCATATGGTAAAACTGCAATTTAATGTATGAGTTTCAAACAATTTAAATAAGCTCATTTATACAATTTCAATATTTGATTCATGCATTTGTCCTTTAAAGAAATATTGGGGGGAAAAAGTTTTAGACATTTTCCAGGATCCGGTGGTGCGGATCGCGAGAACAGAGGACATTCTGCTGCTGGATGTGGAGACTCCTGGGACCCTCTTCACTGGGCAACCATATTGTGCCACTGGACCACCACGGAATGTAGTGTGTCCCCCCTCCCTGGACACAGGTAAAAATTTTAAAAAATGTGTGGGTGTTTAAGATCCGCCCGGTTGCCAAATGCTCCAGGTTCGCTCCTGCCTGGATCCTTTATCACGCAATATTAAACAAAGACTAAAATATTTGCAAAGTAACAAAATGAACATGTTTGTATCACACACTAGGTGTGACAAAATTAGATTTAAAAACAATGGTCCAGTTATTGTACACACGACTTCACCTGCATTGACAATTCAAACAGATTCCCCTTCTCCCCGATTTTTCTTTGCACGATCTGTGGAACCCTCACTGCTGGCGATTTGTTGCAATCCTCAGACCTGACAATGAAATCCCAAGAATATAAAATAACTGTGTATGTAGATGATCTATTATTGTCCATAACTAAGCCCCTCTCTTCTCTTTTTTTCCCCATATTTGGGACTTCTCTTGAGCCAAGTCCTCACGGTTTAAGCTAAACAGGTATAACACAGTTTCCCTTAATTTAAATTTAGAGAACACAATTCTAACCTCTTCGCAGGCATCTTACCCCTTTCAGTCTAATTATCCTAAATTTTATACCTAGGGATCAATCTTAACAATATTTATGCCTTAAATGGATCTGAATTGCCCCTAGAGAGATTAATTAATTGCCTCACTTTCTTTATTTCTTTCAGACACTTCCCATTCATTGTGAAGTCCCAGATTTTAAATGGTTGCAATCTAAAATAGCTGAGTTTATATCTAAAGAAAAAAACAGTGAAACATTATATGTTCCTAACAGATCGGGTGGTCTTTGGTCTGCCCCATTTTTTACATTACTATCATACAGCTCAGTTAGCTTAACTACAACATCTATCGGCTTCGATGGGAGTGAAAATATAAGTGGGCCTGAAATATAAGAATTTTGGGAGTGATTTCTGCTCTTTATATCATAAAACAAGACAGACGGATAACGCATTCTACATCACAGTCTTTAACGACCTCCATAGATATTTGGAATAAATTGAGGAATAAGTTTCCTATTAATAAATACACCATCTCCTCTTACAGATTTTCTTCCCTGCTCATGATTATCTGACAGTGACCTTACTAGATATTTTTAATATTTCCAAAATCTGATCCCGTTTTTGGAGCCCCCTCAACAACAAATTCCTTTTTCTTATGTTGTCCACTTTTGATATGTGAAACTCCATAGATTTTCTTAGACATTCCCTTGACTTTGAAAGGCATTACCAGCATCCCCAACTAATACCTTGATATCATTCTATCAGCAGAAAAAGATTGATAAATTTTCGATGCAGCTTTTCAAATAAAAGAAAAAACTGAAATGCAAATGAAAATGATAGAAAAGGAATGTGCTATTAAATACTCTCCCGTTTAAACTTACAGAACTGCCCTGGCTAAGTCCTAACAAGAGACCTAGTGCCACTAAACTATTTTTATCAACAAAAACCACTCCTAAAGCTTGGGACATTGTTTTTACAACAACCACAATGCAAGAGTGTGTAGAGCAATGCCAATTGAATTATTGAAAGACCATATACCCTTTTTGAATCTAGCACCATACATAGATGATTTTTTTCATGGTAATGCCATTCTTCCATTTGAGAAACTAAAACTTAGGCACGGACTAACGAATGATCATAAAGACGAATGCATGTTTATTATTGATCCAAACACTGATCAAAACTATAAATCATTAGAATTAACGACATTATAAAAATTGTTTTTATATACTCCACATTGTAAGGGCATAATATCAAAGTGCTACTCATTGTATAACACCACACCTACGGACAAGCTGAAACATATGAAATCTTGGGAGACAGAGTTAGGTACACAATACGAGCTTGACGAGTGGTTCAGTTTTTAAAAAACATTGAAAGGGATTTCTTTCTGTACTAATGACTTTGAAAACCACTACAAAATTCTATACCACTGGTACTTGGCCCCATCCAGACTGCACAACATGAATAACCTGTATTCTGACCGGTGCTGGAGGGACTGTGGTGGTTTGGGAAATATGGCTCATATATGGTGGTATTGCCCCAAAATTACAAAGTACTGGAAAATGATTTATGATCTAATCGTTAAAGTAGATAGTACTATTGGTATGTTAACTTCTGAGCTTGCACTATTTAAAAAACTCTGTTAGTAGAATTGACAAAATACACCATCAGTTAAAGAGGTTATAAATTTGATTCTTGACAATAAAGCACACGAACTGTCGCATAGGAGCAATATGCATTCTTTCGCAAAACTAAAATATTATTGGGACAAATGGGAAGAAGAAATTAAAAAGGTGTACCGTTTAAAAATAGCTGATTTATTGTTGAATTGCATCATTGTACAATTTATGCTATGTACATTAAGATTTGTATTACTATAATGGATGGACACCCTTTTTCCACTTCCAAGTTACCCCTTTCCTCTCCCAACCCTAATATAATGTTTGAAAACTTTGTTACACGTTTTGCAAAAATCTTCAATAAAAATTATTTGAAAAGAAAAGGAACGTGCTGCAATAAAAATAATCCAAGTGAGCCCCTTGTGGGGGCTAATAAATGTATAATAAATTGGGGTCCGAGTGGTGGAGGGTGGAAGAGTCTAATAAACTTCCTATGTGAGTCTTGAGATAGGTGATACTTGCCTGTCAGAGCATCCCCACCATGCAGCGTTTATTATACATCCTTGTAGTATATAAAAACATACACATGACATCCCAAACAAACCCTGATGAAGTGATGGTGCGTTACACAACGTATGAGGTGGTACTTTGCAGGAGATCCTCGTAAGAGCTTGTCCTCACCAGTGACTTTATAGAGAGCAGCGAGCAGTGGTGTCCAGCATCAGGTGTTCGAAGTGCTTGCTACAATATAAAGGTTTTTCCTCCAGATATGGGCTATATCTAATCGATAAATGTTTTTAACGTTACTTTTTCAATACACAGTGTTTTACCAGAGAGCAGTATCCAAGTCTTTTCCTATTTAAAAAGAACATGTTTTTTAATGGATTTTCCATTATTTGTAGTCTTTATTTGTGTCCTATTAGCACAAAAATTATCATTAGATACTAGGTCATGGGTTACACAGCACTCAAGGCTGCTAGAGCAAAAAAGGCTGTGGCCTATCAGGATTCCCAGTGGATCTTCAGATATCAGCTAGTGCAAAAAGGTGGTGAGGGACAATCCTTAAATTACGCATCTCAGATAACTTTCTTCCAGCTCTTGTGAATGGAAATCTGCACTGGAGTAGAGCAGGCTACAGCAGCTATTGCAGCTCCTGCCCTCAATTTGTGCCTGGTCCCCACTGGACCCCAGGAAAACCACCCACAGAGCTGCAGAATAAGCCCCTTCCTCATACAAATAAAACACACAGTCCACACATACAAACACACCCACCCACAAGCACAATGCTGACAATCCACATACACACACCCCATGAGGAGCATCCACACAGAATTCCACAAACAACTCACATACACAGCCCACATTCATAGGTATCATAGGTACTAAATATACGAACAAATACAACACTATAAAGCAACTGAAGCACCCATAAATAACACAAACAGAATACGGCAACATACACAGCTCGAATTAAACCAATAGGAGAGGCATGACAAAGGACTTCAAGATCTTGCTTCATCGTATGAGTCAATGGTGCATGACACCGGCATTCTAGGAGTATGATCTGATTAATCTGCTTAATATTCATTACTGGTTCTAAATTAGAACTCAGTGAATCTGATCGACCACAAACCTGACATTACATAGGACATAAGGTCATGCATTTAGACTGGAAGAAAGAAGATTTCGTCTAAGGCAAAGAAAAGGATGTGGAACAATAATGATGTGGCATTCTCTGCCTGAAGAAGTGGTTTTATCAGAGTCCATACAGATGTTCAAACAGCAACTAGATGCATACTTGCAAAAACAGAATATTCAAGGATATAATTTTTCAATGTAGGGTAATACCTTCTTGATCCAAGGATAAATCTGACTGCCATTCTGGGGTCAAGAAGGAATTTTTTTCCTAGTTTGTTGCAAGTTGCAAATTTTTTTTGCCTTCTTTTGGATCAACAGCAAAAAACAAATGTGAGGAAGGCCGAACTTGATGGACGCAAGTCTCTTTTCAGCTATGTAACTATGTAGCCATATAATATTTGTATTCATGTTTCCTCGCAGCCAGGCTACACACCTTTGTAATGTAAAATGTCCCTTTAATGTCATTGAATTCTCACAGTTCCATCTCAGTAACATGTTCCGATCTTTAATCTCAGGATCCCTTTGCTATGCATCTGGTTGTAGAAGAAAAACTCATCAGGCATGGAATGGAAGCCACGTTTTGGCAATGTGTTATCATAATAGTGATGTGAAATTGGTTTTCCTGTTGCACCTCTAGAAAAAGGCCAGAAACCATAGAGTGTGACCTCATCGCAGAGCTCCAAGGCTGTGCTGACAATCATGAGGCCAGAGGACAAACGATGAGCCTTAAGACCCCTTTTTTTCCAGTAGAGCGCAAGGTTCGTCAGATAGTCTGGGTGGAAGTAAGCCACCTTCTGCTGTGACTCAAAGTCTTGCAAAGTATGAAAAACTTTCAAGGAAACATCTACATTGCTGGTAAAGGAGAAAGCTGGCATCACGATCAGGGCAGGTTCGTATGTCTTTACAAGATCCACAAAGGGCTTCCTCTGCTCATTCAGTCTTGAGAAACTGAAAAAGAAGAAAATGGCTCTTTAGACCTGTGATATATAAATATTAATGGTGTCTCAATTCCAGGACTAGCCACAGTAATAATCAACCGTCAACTAGCCCCAGGCTAACTAAGCATCATGGGAACTGTAGTTCAGCATAACGGATGAGCCACCTATTGACATTCTCTCCTCCATGCATTGATATATTGTAGTTACCTGGTGTGCAGAATACTTGGGTTCACCGTGACCAGGTCTGTCTTTGTTCCAATGTCACCTGAATAATTCATGGGCGGCAAATTAAACCTGCGAGGAGGAGAGAATATGGGGTTATCCAGAGATTGGAGTTTGTCTCCCCCTGCATTACCAGGATAAAATAACATAAAATATAGAATATGGAGGTGGAGCACAAGTTTACAATTAGGATTATTGTTACAGAGCCACCATACTCCGGTTGAGTACCTTCGTTCTGTCAGCTTCCTCACTAGTTGGGGATGCTGGAACACTTCAGACCCAGTAGTCAAAGCTGGACTGAGGGTCTCTGGGTACCACTGCTCTGGATAGGGCAGCCGCGGTTATAGCTCCTTGCCAGGGTCATCTTAAATACTGATTGGACCCTGGGAAGGCATTTGCTTGGGACCCCTGGGCCTAGCCCTCCCACTTCCTAGCATGCAATCATGTCATCCACCCACACAAAAAAAAAAACACACACACACAAAACAAACACACACACACTTAGCAGCACTAATTTTTCACTGAGACAAAATACACACACTAACACACATACAAACGCAAACACTGACATACATAGAAATACACACACACAGGTACAGACATACAAAGACAGATACACAGACACACATGCAGATATACACATACGCATACACTGATGCACAGTTACACTCACTGACAATCATGCAGATAAATGGACACACTAACACACAGACAAACACACTGACATACTTGCAGATAGATACAATAATACACAGATACATAATCAGATAAACAGATACAGAGACACACAGATACACATATATACAAAGATACAAATACGGATACACAGAAACACATACAGATACACAGAGATACATACAGACACACATACAAACAGATACACAAATCCTATAGAATATAAGCTCGTTTGAGCAGGGTCCTCCTCAACCTATTGTTCCTGTAAGTTATCTTGTAGTTCTCCTATTTATAGTTAAATCCCCCCTCTCATAATATTGTAAAGTGCTACGGAATCTGTTGGCGCTATATAAATGGCAATAATAATAATACATACATACATACATACATACATGCTAAATGCACATTTTTTTAGTCACTCTCCTGTTTCCAACTTTTGAGTGCAGGAGGGTGAGTTCCCTGGGGACCAGTGACTGGGTTTGGCTGATGGGAGTCAGAGCTCCCACTCTGACTCCCTCCTCTCCTTCTCCTCCCGTGAGGCGCTCTGTGAATGCGGGGAGTAAGTGACCGGCTGTCACTTCCTCCCAGGATTCTGACATCATCACAGGGGGCCCGGTCGCACTTTTAAAGTGGCCTGGCCCCTGAAAATACATCTCCATTGGGTGGCCCTTAGAATATTGGCCACCTGATGGGCCTCCTCATCGTGCGGCCCGCGTGGAACTACCACGGCGGCCGGTGGGCTAAAGGGGCAGCTGCTTTTGACCCCTTGGAACGATTGGGCCCAGGGAAGTTGACTGTGTTGCCCTGCGTTAAAGACGGCCCTATTCCTTGCAGTGGTTATAGCTCCTTGCTGTGGTTATAGTTCTGCAAGCCCTTTCTCTTGTAAAGCAGTGATTATAGATAACTTTTCCCTCCAGAGACTGAATGTATGGAATGTAGCTTTACTGAACACAACACAACTATTTATATAAAGAAATATGGATTCCCAGTCCAAGTAGGTCCTCCGTGCATTACAGTGGCCTTTACAATAGTCCCACCCTGGTGCCACTCTGGGTTCCAACATCCCCAGACTCCCTGCTGTGCCTTCCTAAACATATAATTTAAATGTAAAAAATGTCCCCCAAAAACCTCCTTTCCCTGGACAGTACATCCACGCAATATATATCCCTGGATAGCTCTCAAATGTCCCTTCTGGCCAAATAGTGCAGTGATCGGAGAATCTGTGCTGCATGTTAATGTTTGACCAGGTTACGGCTATTCTATGATCTTGCTCAGAGTTACAGGCGTGTGGCTAACTTGTCCTGGTCTCACAAAACAGGTTTCCTGGGACTCTGGTGAGGCCGGTACCCACATGCTATTCAATTGAGTACCCATGCTGGACAAAAAGCAGCTTGATCGGTGGTTGAGGGACTGAGAGATACCAAATCAAAGATTCACCAGTCCCAATCCAGTAAACTTAGAACCATAGAATGTGACTGCAGATAAGAACCATTTGGCTCTCCTAGTCTGCCCAATTTTTAAAATACATTCATTATTCCCTGGCCTTATCGTATAGCTAGGATAGCCAACAGTTCAAGAGCGTTTAAGAGTATCTCTCCATCAGATGCTTAATGTGCAGGATGGGTCCAGGCAATCCTCAGAGGTCTCCACTTCCAGCTTGGGAGGCAGAGTAGATAGTACCCCTCTTTAGTCCATGTCCTTTCCATAGTGATAATAGCCTTTTTTAGTCCATGTTGGAATGTTGTTCCGTGACACGCGTCTTATACGATAAACCAATGGCTTTGGGTTGATATAACTATAACTCACCCAGCACTCACAAGCAACCAAGTCCTGCAGAATCTTCTAAGCAAAGGTATCATCTCTGGAAGATTGCCGACCCCATGGTCATTACCATACTTATAGATAGTGCAGATCAGCTGGTTTTCAAAACACTCCAATCAAGTCACTAAACCTCTCCTCACCTGAATTTCCTCTGTTAACATACTGTTAACATAGATATATGTACATATATATATATATATATATATATATATATATATATATATATATATATCTATGATTATATATGTGCAAATGTATAATGTTCATATCTATATAACAAAACACATTTTCTCTAAATAATGTTCTCCCTTCTATTTTTCACTTTCACACTAACTAAAATATCCCTGTCTTTATGTTCACCTGTCCATGGTGACACCATTTTCTTTACTTCCATTTTACTCCCCTCCCCTCTCTATTCAACCCATGCACTCTACATATACCTTTCAAGACCATTTCCACCAACTCCTCCCAAATCCTCTATATACATACCCTCCTACAAAATGTTCAAATCCTACTTCCACCTTCACTTTCTATCCTTCTGCTCCTGGCAGCTGGGTCCCATCTCAGCAAACTCACCACATACTAACTCAAGGAACCACACCAATCTCATACCCATCTCATGTTCCTCTTCCCCTAAATCCTCCTTCAATACTGCCCTCTAGAATGCATGCTCTGTTTGCAATATTACAAATTCCACTGCTGTCCACGACATCTTCATCTCTAGTTCCCTAGATTTACTAGACTTTACAGAAACATGGCTTTCCCCCTCTGACACTGCTACCCCTGCATCTTTGTCCTTTGGTGATCTTCAACTTACCCGCAACCCAAGACACTCTGAATGTAGAGGTGGTGGTGTAGGGTTTCTCCTCTCCCATCACTGCTCCTTCAAACCTCTACTCACCCCCCCTTCCCTCTCTTTCCCATCATTTGAAATTCATTTGATTTGCCTTTTCAAACCCTTCTCTGCTAACATTGCCGTTATTTATCGCCCCCCTGGATCCTCTCTCCTATTCCTTGACCACTTTGCTACCCTATTTCCTCTCTTCTAATATTCCATCCCTAATTCTCAGGGACTTCAATATTCCCATTAACTCACCTTTGACCTCAGCAGCCTCCAAACTACTTTCAATTACTTCCTCCCTCGGGCTATCACAGTGGGCTAATCCTCCCACCCATGTAGCTGGCAATACCCTCAACCTGATTTTCTCTTATCCATGTACTGTATCTAATATCTCCATTTCCTCTCTCTGATCACCACCTCTTGTCATTTACTCTCAAGTACCTCCTTACCCAACAACCTCAGCCTAACCGCCCCCCCCAACTCATGAGGAGTCTTAATTCTCTGGACCTCCAGCAGCTGTCAAATGATATTGATTCACAACTGCTATCCATCCCTTCCCTCTCCTGTCCCTCACTGGCCATCTCCACATATAACTCTACCCTCACCTCTGCCTTGGACGCTGCAGCACTGTTCCAAACAAGCTACCCAAGGAGGACACGCACCCAACCGTGGCATAATAAATCAACACGCTACCTGCAAAGATGTTCCCATTGTGCTGAATGCTCCTGGAGGAAGTCTTGCACCCAGTCAGACTTTCTCCATTATAGATTCATATTGTTTTCATACAGCGCAGCCCTTGCCTTTGCCAAACAGGCCTACTTTTCCTCTCTCGTTAGTTCATGCTCCCGCAATCCCAGGCGTCTCTTTGACACCTTTAATTCTCTTCTTCGCCATGCTGTGGCCACTCCCCAAACTAACC